CATCATGATTTTTTTTGTGTTCGCAGATTTCACACTCTTCTTTTCCTAAACGGGCAAAGCTTATATTAAGGTCTCTGATCATTTTCCGGTAGGTTTGGTACTTGCAAACACCTGGATGTTTGTCATTAAAGTCGGCGAACATCACTGTAACATTTAGCTCCGGTGGTAAGTAAAGTCTGTTTGGTGCATGTTCCCTACGATAATGCGAAATGCATGGATGGTGTGACATTATATGGTCTTTTATGACTTTTTTCTTTTCATCTGAAAGCTTGTGTGCATGGTTTCCGTGTCGGCCTCGTCCATCTTTAGGAGCATATACCCCTGTCCCTTGCTCAGCGATCAACTTAAAAAGCCATGTTATGACACAATTGCTAGTGGACTTGAATCCCAATGTCGTGAGGAAAAATGTTCTGCATACCTGGACATTTCCATAATCTTCACTCATCAGCGAATATGTGTATGTGTGTTTCCGTGGGTTGGTAGCATTTGGGTTGGTACGTTTTGGAACAGTTGCCTCAGCATGGCTTAGGAGCCATACTCGTTGTTGCTCCTTAGACAACATCCAATATTCTTGGTTAATTCCTTCTCTTTGGTCTTTGCTTATTTTTTCTGTGCATTTCTTTTTGCACCATGCTGGGCAAGGCGGAAGGACATTTTTCTTTTTCCTGAATATAAATAAAATTTTTAAAACATAATTTAGTATTTTTTAATTGTTTTTTTATGTTAATAATTTATCCACATAAATAAGCTATTGTAATCATTTATTTAAAAAGGACTGTACATCAATGACGTTGAAACTTTCATCTTACCTGTTTGCATTGTTTTCATCTATCTGGGGAACTACATCATTTTGCACCATTTCATGTTCGTTTTCATTATCCTTGTCAATTTCCATTGGCTCAACACTATCATTGTCATCAGTGCTATTACTTTGGTACTCTTGAATGGAATCCATTGATGCACTGGTATTAGGTCTTGTGCTGTTAGAAGGCAAACATGATGTTTACTGTATGTATTTTTATGTTTATCAATATTACAGACAGTTAAAATAATTTATGGTGATTGTACTAGTAGTTGATAAATCCACCCTCAGTAGTTTAGTTTTACAAAAAGAGTGTTCATGGTTCTTACATCTGTATGTCGCCTTTATTTCTCTGCAATTGATTGCCCTCCACGTCACCTGCATCCTCCATTTCAACATCTTCATTAAGTCCATATTGT